AAGAGTAAAGGAGAGTTAGGGTGATCTCTTGAACAAATCACCTTTAGGGCGGCAAGATAGGTTCTTCAAGGAAAGGGAGGAACAAGGGAAAGCAGGAGGTTTTCCCCGTGGACCAACCCGTGATGAGATCCTATTCGCGGGCCCATAACAGGAATATACCTGTAGCCTCTGTTCATTTGTGTCTTTAACAGTACCATCAAGAGGTTTAAGGGCAATCAATGCAGTGGTATGTGGGTTTGCTGATAACCCTTTTTCTATGTCACTCCAAACTAAATCAGTTGTTTTTTCACAAATGAAAACCAGCTTCTAGGCTCTGAAGGGATTGAAATTATGCAGAGTGTTAATAAAGCTACTGCTTCTAGTTTTGACTATGTAGCTTTCCAGGTTCAAGGGAAAGGGGGAGGGGGGAAGGTCTCTATGTTTAAAGCAGGTAAAGGAGGGTCTTGAGGTTTCCTCATCAGTGGCTTGAGGGAATCCAACATTGCATGCCACCCACAAGAATCATCATCTTCAGGTATGAATATACCCCTGGCGCTTTCCTCACCTGCCCAAGAGGTGAAGTTTTCGATTTTAGTTGGAGGGTGGAGTGTAGGCCTCTGAAGAATAATCTCCTTATTTCCAGAACATTTAAACCATCCTCTTGAAGCTGCAATAAAAGCTTAAGGAGTTTTCAATGCTTCATCCTCTCTAAGGGTCAATTTTTCCAGAAACCCCTACTTCTCTCCAATAAGAATGCAGAAGGCAGTGTTAGATTGGAGATTGCCCTCAATTTCAAAAGTTTTCACTTCAGTGGTCCCTCTGGTAGGGAGAGAAGGAAGGGATCTGAGTGTCTGGCAGGCTCCTATTGGAGCTCATCCCGGCCACTGTAACTCATTCAGTCATCACTCTTTCTGAGTTTGCTACCTACATCTCTATTTCTGCATCTTTTACAGCACTTGGACTTTAATTTTTTATTCATTCTTGACATTTTCTTATATTTATTTATCAAAACCCAATCTTGGAACATTTTCTGCTGCTCTAAGCACAACCATTACTACTGTACGGTATTTTCTCTTTTCTTATTTTTACCCTTGTTTTGTGAGGCTTTTTTATGGAGTCACATGACCATGGGTTTACTGGTTATTTTACTATTTTATACAGTTGCTATCTAAGTAGAATAGAAGCTGGCACCTGCACCTCATGCTTTTAGCGCTCTCCACATTTCTCTTTTCCTTTTTTCTTATTCTCATTTCTTTCTCTTCTCTCTCATTCTCTTCTAAATCTATACTCAGACACTCAAGAAGAATAAATAAATGGATGTATTTATCTGTGGTTTCATCCTGCATTTATCTGATTCAATATTCGTGGTTATGTGTTGCAGCAAAAGAAAAAAAATCATGGTTATGGATAACATAATGTAGAGCATTATATTGGACTTTGCTTTGGATTTGTAAATTAACAATTAAAGTAAACTATTGTTTATGATCTATCATTTATGCCTTAATGCCAACACTCTTCCTCCCTTCCAAACTCCCCCCTCCCCCCCCCCTGAAAAAAAATAAATAAAAAGAAAGAAATAAAGAAAAGAAAGGTTTGGTCTCCCAGAATTACCTTCTGTTAACCATAGCAACAATTAGCAGAAAATGGGCATTGGTTTTATTGAAGCATGGAACTATATTCAGTGTGCACAAGTTCATGAGTATTTCTACATCATCATATAACCCATATGTTCTTTGTCACGTTCTACATTTTAACTGCACATTTTTGTGATTTTGAAGGGAGGATTTTCGCAAGGAATACCAGGAACAAAATCCAGATGTGAAGTCAATGCGCGATGTATGTGCTAGATCATCTGCAGATTGTTTCTTTGAATTTTTCCCTACTAATTCAAGCCATTCATTCTTTCATTACCTTTATTTCTTTCCCTTTCAGTTTTTTAATTCATGCATTCTGTGATATTCTCATTCTTTAGATTGGCAAGGCATGTGGGGAGAAGTGGAAAACAATGACATATGAGGTTTGGTTCAATTATTGTTCTCAGTTTCTGACTGTCTTTGTGCATGTGATTTTATATGAAGGCTGTGAGTGGTTTTGAGGGCATCTCAAATCCCAACATGTCCTCATCTCATAGGATTGGCTTACAGCAGTATGAATCATGAACTGCATTCAAGGTTAACTTTATAATAGTACAGATAAGCTTTCAATCAGTTCCAAAATCAACACACTTAATGCACAAATAATGAGCTAAACTATAGATGAGATTAGCTACTGTTTTTGTCCTTTATTCTTTTTGTATAATCTGAACATCGTTCAATAAGTAACATTAATGCATTGATTGATTTCCTTTACTGCTGCTAATTATATTTATCTATCAAAAAAACAAGTAGCACTGGTGCATCAACCATGCACATGGAATTTGGTATTTCTGGATGCACTCATCCTTGTGTCATATGGGTTATTGTAATTCCAGTTTCATGGGTGTATAGCTTTACAAACATTGGCAAAATCATGTTGCATGAAGACCCCAGATGACCAGCGGGGGAAGCTTGGAAAGAGGGAGGGAAGGTCAGTTCCTGCAAGCAAAAAGATGGAAGAATGTGCTGAAGGTGGAAGCGAAGACTTTCATCTTGGAAGAAATCTGGACTAGAAATGGACTCTCTCTAAAGATTGTATAATCGAGGAAAGCTTCTTTACTTCTCGAAGGAAGGGCGGTACCATGGTTCCAAGGAGTTCTCGATGGAGCTAAAATAACAGAAAAATCAAGGGAGTGGAGGTGCTGTCTATTGGAACAGAACAGGAAGTACGTGGCTGAAAGAAAAAAGAACCAAGTACGGGAGGTTTTTGGGAGTGCAGGAACACTTTGGTGAGGGGCTGAAGCAGTTTACCTGTTTCCCTGAAGGAAGGGAGGCCTCGGGATGGGACAAGTTAGCAGAAGCAATTCAGGAGTTTATGGTGGCAACTAATGACAGAGAAAGTGCCCTAAAAGATGGTCAAAAAATTAAGGAAGAATCTGAAGGGCAGTCAGGGAAAGTTTTCAGGGAGATCCCAGGAGAGGAGGAGATAGGGACGGAAAGTAAATTGCAGATTGATGCTGGACTAGGTTTGGTGAAATTGTGGGTGAACAAACCTAAAGAGGATTGGCAGCTTAACGGTAAACAAGA